TCGTTCGTCCAATAAAAATCAACAATAACGACTAATTTTTCAATTTTTATCGAATTTTAATATCTACAGAATACGCCCATATAATAATCCTTAAAGGTTAAGTTTTTAAGTGCTTATAAGTAGTATTTTATAGAAGATGCCGTTAAAAAGTAAGTCAGATTGTGAATCATATGAAATGTGTTGATAGAATTGGAGTTTAATCAGCTTATTATCACTTGTAAGTTTTGCCAAACATGCCCTAAATCTTGTTCGCTAGGGGAAAAAAATTATGGTTTAACGTATTTCTCAAAAAATGTAAATGTAGAAAAATTATAAATTATGCATTTCGTGCTTGGATCAACCACATTGGGGCCAAATCATCGTGATCAACCCACAATCATTTCAATTTTGAAAAGTTACTACGTAGGTTTTTAATCTCACTGAATGATTTAAGAACATACGTATTGAAGTTGGTAGTAGGCCCCACAAAAATTATGAATAATAAATAAATAGTAATTATGAATGCATAGTTAAAAGTAATCCTCGATTTTGACGGTATCCATAATCATGTATAAGAGGGTGTTTGGTAGAGATTAAAATCAAATTAAAATTGAAAAACTAGCCGTTATTGTTGACTTTTATTAGATGAGTGAGACCAAATAGCGGCTATATTTTCAATTTTAATTGAATTTTAAGCCTTACCAAACAGGCCCTCAAATTGTCTTTAAAATGATTAGAACACGAACATAATTACTAGGAAAATTCTCCACGTATGACGCAAGAGAATTGTTTAAAGAATTCCTACAGGTGCCACGTTATCATTTGTCAGTTATAAACGCAGTCAACTTTTTCATCCACTATTTTCTCTCCATATCATTTTATGCGATCCCTTGTGTATCATTTTTATGTACAAGTAGCATAATCCATAAATAATTAAAAAGAGAGAGAATTTAAACATCTTATATGATACCTTGTGGCCTATTGCCTAAAATTGATTCTTCCTGGATCGATGCTCGAGAGATTAATGAGGATGAACTGTAAATTCGTTTGTAATATGTCTACGTTGATTCAAATCTAGTTCGGCTAATAATTTGCTAATCTACCATGAGATGGTATAACCTCATCGTACTTGCAAAATATCCTATACAAAATATAAAGATAAAAAATAATCTATTGCCCTGCTAGATCCTTTATTTTTCTGGTAGGTCAATTTTTCTATGAAGAACATGAAAACGGTTTAGCGACTTTTTCGAATGACAATAAAACATGGTCCATGTTCATAACTCATTAAAAAATATCTAAAAAATAATCAAAATAATTAGTTAAATTTGAATTCAATCTCTCTCTCTCTCTCTTTTTTTTAGTATGTCTGAAGTTGTCATTATTCCACTCTCTATTTTCAACAATATTGGACAAAACGCATTAAATTCCATATGCTAGTGCCAATATTTGGTCTTCTTTTTCTTCTTTAAAAAAGGACGTTATGCGGAAAAAATAGACGTATTGTACTATTATATTAGATCACAAATTTTAAAATGCTACTGTACTTGTAACTGGAACATGTTCGATTTTGAAAGATTCCAGAACAAACAAATCTTAATTTTAGTATAAAATTAAATTCAGTTTCAGTTTGTTAGTTATAATTGTTGTAGAAAGTACCCAGGATGTTGAAAAGTTGGTGTGTGAAGTTTTTAAAGATAGTGTTAGATGAATTTTAGATTAAAATTAGCCCACCAAACACCCACTAAATCTGTCCCAATTTCATTGTAATACGCGGAGGAAATGTTGTTTCGTTTGATTGTACTCTTAAGATTAGTGGTTTAAACTTCAAAAATCACGTTCAACTTTGGCAAACTCTTTGAACTTGCCAATATGATGGGCATGGTCCAGTTTTTGTGAGATTTGGAATTTTGGATGGAACCAATCATAACTTGGTATCTTTTATCAAAATCGATCGATTATCTACGAAAGAGCAAACCACATGGAAAAAGGGACCGACGGATTCATTAAGATTTCACAGGAGTTTAGAATTCAAAAAAATTGAGCCATACGAAGTATTTTTGGGTGCATCATCTTCCTCGTTGAATATATAAAATTGACAATATTCTCAATTTCAATGTTAAATTTAAGAACCGACTCTCGGTCCTAAATAAATCAAATCTCGTCAATTTTTAACATTGTCTGATCACCAATCGACAAGACTAAATATCGTGACTACATATATATTCCATGTTGTCCCATTACATAATAGCACGAGTGGGG